CTAGAGCCTGTTTGGGAGTGATTTTGATAATTGATTTTTTGACCATTAAGAGAAAAGTGGGGTCCACCTGTGAGAGAAGAAGTCAAATATAACGGCTAGAATAGTGAAATAACGGTCAAAAAATCAATTTTTTTGGTGAAAAATCGCTCCCAAACAGGCCCATGAGTACTTTATGTTAAAAAGTTAGTATCCCAAAGACTTTTATAAAAGTTTCTAAAAGTCATTAAAATATGAATAACCAAAATTTATAAAGATTTTTAAAATATTTTAATTGAATACACCGTAACTTTTAGATATTTTATAAAAGTCTATAAAAGTCTAAATTGAATGCATCAATACTTTTAGAGTGTCTCATAAAGTCTACATTGGATACTCCTAAACTTTTTAAATTTCAAAAAGTCATTAAAAGTTTTAATTGAATACACATTTTTAGTCTTTCCATCCAAGCAGTGATACTCTCTCTATTTCTTCACGCTGGCATCTTTCGCTCTCTTCAGATAGTCCTCAAAATCAATGCTCTCAATAAGTTCCTAAGACTTCACCTTATGAAAATCTAATGAAACTTCAATGAAAGGCTTCTCAAAGTTTTCTTGGAAGACTGAATATCCTAATTCTGTCAGTGTTTTAATTGTATTTCTCATCATATGCGTTCCCTAAATATCAAATCGGGAAGAGTGTTTAGAAGCCTAGTCTGGATGTCGCTAGAGTGAATTACATTGTCCCTCCAAAGATTTTTCCCTAACCCGTGAATGGAGGTTTTGTAATGTCATGGTCGGACTCCACCTGCAACCTCATTACAGCCTTAACGCATAGATAAATGAAATCCAGCTGGGTTAGCCGAGTTATAAACTAACTAAAATAGAAAATAGAATGGGGAAGGAATAAATGAGAAAATCAATAAGAAAGGGAAGAGAAAGCTGTTGAAATGCTCCAACAATTTTACTGAATTTCAGATTGCAAAAACTGATTCTCCACTCCATTTACACAACATTTATCCATTTCTTCTCTACAGTGAAGAAACATGTTCCTCACAAAAGTGTAAAACCGTTTTCTTAAAATAAAACTTTACTTAAATAATTCCAAAACGGTGCCATTTCGTTGCAGATGAAACGGCATCGCATGTCCATTCAAATTCTATTATTTTCGTTGGCTGCTTCCTCTCGTTCTTCTTCCTGTGTGCTCTATGAAAATCTAATGAAACTTCAATGAAAGGCTTCTCAAAGTTTTCTTGGAAGACTGAATATCCTAATTCTGTCAGTGTTTTAATTGTATTTCTCATCATATGCGTTCCCTAAATATCAAATCGGGAAGAGTTTTTAGAAGCCTAGTCTGGATGTCGCTAGAGTGAATTACATTGTCCCTCCAAAGATTTTTCCCTAACCCGTGAATGGAGGTTTTGTAATGTCATGGTCGGACTCCACCTGCAACCTCATTACAGCCTTAACGCATAGATAAATGAAATCCAGCTGGGTTAGCCGAGTTATAAACTAACTAAAATAGAAAATAGAATGGGGAAGGAATAAATGAGAAAATCAATAAGAAAGGGAAGAGAAAGCTGTTGAAATGCTCCAACAATTTTACTGAATTTCAGATTGCAAAAACTGATTCTCCACTCCATTTACACAACATTTATCCATTTCTTCTCTACAGTGAAGAAACATGTTCCTCACAAAAGTGTAAAACCGTTTTCTTAAAATAAAACTTAACTACTTAAATAATCCAAAACGGTGCCATTTGGTTGCAGATGAAACGGCATCGCATGTCCATTCAAATTCTATTATTTTCGTTGGCTGCTTCCTCTCGTTCTTCTTCCTGTGTGCTTTGATATCCTTTCTTCCCCATTGATCTTCTCCTTGACATGTAATTGCTCGGAATAAAATTCCTAAAAATATTCAATAACCTTTAGGCATCACTACGATCAGTCCATCTTATATTAAGTTCCTTGAAAAATGAACCATCGTGGGCAGCTTTTGTGCATTCATGCATCTCCTGTAGGATGGACGACATTCTGGATGCAATGTCACTATAAAGTTCCTCCCAAAATTCAAACCACATCCTATTTTTAGACTTTCTAAATCTAAGGAAAGGTTCTGTTTTAGAGAACACTTTTATTAACATAGAAGGGGGAACAGAGTCTTTACGAAAATCATTTATAAATTATTGTCCATTTTGAAATCAAAATTTCTTTATCATTCATTCAGATCGAACTCTCTATTCTTCACAACAATTTCTTCACCAGCCTATATTGATTTACAGAATCATCAAATTCATCGTACTTACAAAATATTGGATTTGATTTTGAGAACTTCATCAAGTTCAGTATGATTATGTCTTGATTTTCAGATTTTACTTCTCATATGCTAATAATAGAAACAATTTTCCTTTAAATTGATTTCGAGAATTGTGGATTTACATGGATTTGTGTTTTACAAACATTTTGCTTTATATCTTGCGTAAAATAGGATTTATTAGATGGGAAGCGTTCTTTCTACGCATGGATTTGACAAGTGCTTTTAACAAATAATCGTGACCTTTAGATTAAACAAATTCAACGATCAATATGTATTTCACTAAAATTATGGGAGAGTTAGTTATAACCATTTAAGATCCATGGTTGTATTTCACTAAAATCATGAGAGAGTTAGTTATAATCATTTAAGATCCATGAAATACTAACCGTTGAATTTGCTTAATCTAAAGGTTATGATTATTTGTCAAAAATACTTGTCAAATTCATGTGTAGGAGAAACGCTCCCCAGATTGATATCATATTATATTCATTTGATTGAAAGTAATAAGGAGACTCTTTTGATATTGTAATTATTGTTGTATGGCAAATCTTTTGAGTCACAAAGTCGTATTATATTAATGTTCAAACACATGTAATGTGACTTTCTGTCTTGCCACACTGTGACCTAATCCTTTAATTGATTTTGACATTTAAGTTTGTATGACTCCGACCTCATTTACATAAGACTTTAACTAAGTGTAAACTATAAGTTTGTGTGATTGTAAAAATAATAGAAACAATTTTCCTTTAAATTGATTTCGAGAATTGTGGATTTACATGGATTTGTGTTTTACAAACATTTTGCTTTATATCTTGCGTAATATAGGATTTATTAGATGGGAAGCGTTCTTTCTACGCATGGATTTGACAAGTGCTTTTAACAAATAATCGTGATATTTAGATTAAACAAATTCAACGATCAATATGTATTTCACTAAAATCATGGGAGAGTTAGTTATAACCATTTAAGATCCATGGTTGTATTTCACTAAAATCATGAGAGAGTTAGTTATAATCATTTAAGATCCATGAAATACTAACCGTTGAATTTGCTTAATCTAAAGGTTATGATTATTTGTCAAAAATACTTGTCAAATTCATGTGTAGGAGAAACGCTCCCCAGATTGATATCATATTATATTCATTTGATTGAAAGTAATAAGGAGACTCTTTTGATATTGTAATTATTGTTGTATGGCAAATCTTTTGAGTCACAAAGTCGTATTATATTAATGTTCAAACACATGTAATGTGACTTTCTGTCTTGCCACACTGTGACCTAATCCTTTAATTGATTTTGACATTTAAGTTTGTATGACTCCGACCTCATTTACATAAGACTTTAACTAAGTGTAAACTATAAGTTTGTGTGACTGTAACCTGTTCTACTTAAGATTTTACTTGAATGTGACCTATAATTGTGTTTGAATATGGCCTATTATGTTGACAAATTGTGACTTAATTATTTATTTGATTGTGACTGTGACCTGTTCTACCTAAAACTCTACATGAATGCAACTTATAATTGCATGTGGATATGATATATTGTATTGACAGATTGTTACCTATAATTGCTCTAGTAAACATAATTATCTTGCAAAAAAGTTCGTGACCATTTTTTTGCCTTAAATTTGGCTCTTTGTGATAATATCTGTATTGAAAATATGTAAGCATGTCTCCATTAGATGTGACTATTTGTTTGACCTGAAATGAATTGAATGTGACCCATTGTTATTTGTTTGTAAGCAATGGTGGAAGTTTTGCACGTTTGTTTGTATAGAGGTCACACATTCCTATTCCAAAGAAAAGTTTTTAATGCCCTACTAAGAAGAAGAAGTCAACGTGTGCGAGATTGCAAATTATGAAATGTGGAAGATGATGAATCCAGGTACAATCGTAGGACATACAACAACATAGTGCCAATTAACCAGAAAGATGGAAAATTGAAAACAAAGAAATAGCCAAAGCAATTCAAATAGTTTAACATATTTTCTCGTTACATGAGGATATTTTTTTATAGTTACAAGTTCTTTCATTTTATTTTCAAATTGGATATTATTAGGTTATTTGGATTAACAAATTATCGAACTAAGATTTTAATATTTATATGAAATTTTGAATTCATTTAGTGAAGTATGAATTCATGAGTTGTGCATATTTTTATTGAATGAGTTATCTGTGCTGTATGTGTGACCATGGTTAGGTTGCCAATGTATTTTTGTGACCAATCCTGTGTCATGTTATTCTATGCGACCAAGGTTGTATAAGGATATATTTGTTTATGACTTGAATTGTATTGCTTGTGACTATCCGTGACCATGAATATCTCAACTGTAACCATATATAATCAGGTCTATTACAAGATTGAATGTTTATGACCAGATAAGTGTTATCTGTTATTGTTTGTGACCACTTATCAGTAAGATATTATTATTTTTACCATGTCTATGTTCTGTTACTCTCTATGTGATTGTGTCTATTTTAATTGTGATTGTTTGTGACAGTTAAAGTTTTTTAACTGTGACTATATGCAATAATTTCTTGCTTAGTTGTGATCTTCTCTGTATTAACTTTGAATATACATAAATATGTTAGTGTTAATGGTGATTGTGATGTAAATCTGAGACGTCATATGTTTGTGATCATTTGTGTTCATTGTGGCCACTGTTATTTGTTAACTATAAGTACATTAGGCAAGCTATCAAAATAAACAAAATACTTATAGTAATTCTACATGAAACTTCATTGAAAAATAATCTAGTCATACAAAATCAATGTGTCATTTAATATCTCCTTTTTGTTAGAGCTTGTAGTAAATTTTCTGATAATCGACTGTCTTCGAGAATAATGTATTTCCATTCCTGCATATATGTAAGTACATTAGGCATGCTATCAAAATAAACAAAATACTTCAAACCAATTACATATAATGTAACAGACTTCAAAATGTGAAGGATAGTTCATCACAGACTTCATATTTTGAAGGATTATCCTTCACATTTTGAAGTTTGTGAAGGATTCCAAACTCAAGATATATCAATAACAAATCCAAACACAAACCGAAAGACAGAATACCCTACTCAAACATTAGATCAAAAACTCAAAATCGAGGTCACGTTCACAACTATGAATGATTATGTAAATGTAATTGTTCACATAATGGCACAATCCATCATAATCCCAAACACGATTATCAAAAATAGGTCGCAAACACTAACACTTGGCCAATCAACAAAAATGTAGTTCACAATTCACAGAAATTAGGTCACAATCTATAGAAGATAGGTCGTAATCTACCAAACTTAGGTTAGAATCACCCATTCACATCATACCCAAGATACTCATACATTGCATTTGACGTTATAATGCATTAAAAAAAAAAAAAAAAAGAACTAATACTGCAGGATTTACCTTCTTCGATGAGGATTTTCCATTAGAATAGGACATTTTTCTTTTTTCATAGAGGTTCTTGAGCATTTTTCTTCATTTACCTTTCTTTTTAATCTTTCAAACTTCTTCTTTCTCATTGGAATGAGAATCACTCCCCACAATTTATAATCAACATCATTTTCTTCAATGCCGGGTTTGCTAATGTTTGAATAGTAGAAATTGTGGTTGAATTGAAGTTTTCAAGATTGATGAAGATGCCAGATAAGAGGAGCGATTTCAATGGAGGTTTAGTTTTGAAAAGATTTGATTGATTTTCCTCTCTATCCTGACTTTGAAATAGTGAAGACATGGATAAATAAGGTTTCGATATTAACAAATTTATTTTTTGTATTAATATAAAATTAGTAATATTATATTATACCAACAATATTAAAATGATATTTTGTCACCTGAATTATGAAATTAAAGTTTAATATCTCAATGTCGAATTAAGTTGGGAATGGCAATTCGAACTACTAAAATAAAAAATCGCGATTAATTGAATGAAATGAGACAAAAAAAAAAATAGAATCGATGGCAAAATGGGATGGATATGGTATTTGATTTTAATATCCTAGTTCAGGGCGGGACAGGTATGGTATTTAAGTCGTCGCCTAGCCCCGAATCGATTATCCATTAAAAAATTAATTAGGCAATTGAACTTTCCATTATCCTTTCTATGATCTTGTACAACCCAAAATTATGGCCTGTTATCGACCTGCTAATTCCAACTAACTTAACTCAATGACTCTATACCCTACTACATAAATAATAAACATATATGGAGTTTGTTTGTTAAATTCGAATTTTGCATTTGGGAATTGGGATATTGTTTGTATTTTTATTTGAGATATTGTTTACTAAATTGACTTAGTATTGTATAGTTGTTTTTATTAGCTTTTTTTCATAAATTATATTTTTTTTTTCCAATTTGACGGATGGACCTATAAAAAATAATTTATTTTCGTAGAACCGAGTCGAATTGAACCAACTTACGTAGTTATGATGCGATTATGGTATAGCAAAAAAATTGGTGGTTTGGTGATGGTTTTGGTCTAACGGACCCCAATCCAAATCTTTACCAATCCTAAATTGAGTAGTTAAAATCCATGATTTTGCTTAATTTTCCCTTTAATTTAAAAGTCTAAAATTTCATTTTAGTGCTATTTTTATATGTTGTCTATGGTCTGGTTTCAATCCGACAGAGTCAGGTCTTGACACAACCCGACTCGATTCTGTGTCATCATCAAGCTATGATACAATCATACAACATCAATGTTAAGCTACTCTCACCCTGTGTAACCAATAAATTCCATGTCCCCAGGCTCTTCCACCACTTTCTCTCTAGTTTTTTATCTTTCATCGAAGAATTTGATGTAATTTTTCGAAGTTTTAGTTGTTAGGCAATTTGTTGTCAAACGACTGATGTAACCTCAGTTTTATTTATTATCAATCGGTTTTGGCCATTTGATTGAATTATATGTCGACATTATTATCGAGACAACCCAACCCACATCTCTATGGACCGTTAAAAGCAACCATTTTAATAGTGTTACTCATGGTTCGTCTCATTTACTTGGAGGGCTATCGTATTCATTTGGAGCCCATTACCCTGTGTTGAGCCTTGTTTGGACCACTAAGTTAACATAACCTAACTTACCATTTTTGGTCACTCATTTGGCTTATAACCTACGGCTCCTCTACGCCTCCACCATGAAGAACACTCCATCTCTTTCTGTGACTTTGATTCTCGGCCTCTTTCCTTCATATAATCTGTGTGGTTTCTCTTGGGCTATACATTGTTCTTCATCTTGGCCGACTTTTGTGAGTATATATATAGCAACCGTATGTGGAAAGGAAGGAGGTGGAAGTTAGGTGTTGTCTCAATTGAGGTTGTGTCGATATATGGTGGAAACTGAGCCCGGTATCACCTTGATTATTGCTGGAATTACACTTTACAATTGGTATCAGAGTGTGGGTCATCTTCTCAGGCAAGAAATCGACCATAACCAGCGGCGAGTTCGCGATTTTCAGAAGGGGCCGAACCTGCAACTGCTTATTTCGACCAAACGCGATCTCCATTGGACGAACGGAGACCGGACCCATAACCAGCAGGTGGAGGCGACTCCGGTGGTGAGGAGTGTGGCAACGGCGGCGCGTGGAGGACCTCCTGCGTGGTTTTTTCGTGCCATTTCAATTATTTTAATTTCCTGAACGTACTAATGTGTTTGGTTTATTGTTTCAGGCTGTGCAAAAATTTTTGGACGATTTTGCCCTTGATTACAATCTGCATTTGTTGCTGAACGAACTGTTATATTTGCTGAACCTTTAGAGCGAATAGTGGTGGTCCTAAAGCAGCAAATTCGCATCTCTCCACGTTACGGACTCAGATGGTCTGCTCTAGTAAATTGGCTGAAACCTTTATATTTTTGCACTAGCAGATCATCGTGTGGGGTGATCATTAGGTTTGGGGGTTGCCATTGCTTAGCAGTCATTGCTTGTACTATAATTGGGGTTAGTGCTATAATTAGGGTTACGTGCTCTTGATTATTTGATTGAGTATTTCTCTTTTAGTGAAACCAGTATTTGAGTCTCAATGACATAACTGTTGTGAAACTAATTATCTGTTAGACGTAGTTTAGTCTGTTGCATTGTTATTTCCGCTGCTTATCCATTCCATTAGAATTATCGTGACCTTACCCGTTTTTGAACATTCCCTTAATCTAAGACCCCAAGTCTTACGAAACCCTGAAAATTTTAAACGGCGTATATTATCTAAAACCCTAAGACTACTTTGTGTGGTTTGATTGTGTTTTTTGTGCACTCTTTAACTATTGTGTAAAGATGACAACTCACGACTTTGATTTGGGGATTTTTAATAGAAAGGGTGATTTTGCTATTTGGCAACAAAAACTGAAGGGCATTTTAGTCCAACAAAAAGTTTCAAAGGTCATTGAAGGCAATTTTTTAATTGATTTTTCACAAGAATAAAGAGAAGAAGCCGATGAGTTTGCCTATACCTCAATCATTTTACACTTGTCTGACACCGTTTTAAGAAAGGTGACTAAACTGAAAACCACTAAAGAATTTTGGAAAAAATTGGAAGACTTATATTTGTTTAAGTCTACACTGAATAAACTTTACTTGCTCGAACGTTTTTTCAGTTTTAAAATGGATCCTTCAAAGGTCTCGATGACAGTTTAGACGTGTTTAACAAATTGGTGCAAGATATAGATAATTGTGATTCTGAAACTTATAAGGCTATAATTTTGTTCAATGCAATTTCTGTTTCATATAAGGAAGTTAAGAACGCTATTAAGTATCGTATAGATATGTTGACACCTGAAATTGTCATAGACTCTCTTAGAAGTAAAGAAATGGAAATTAGGGCTGAAAAACACGATAAGAGGAACGGTGAGGTACATATGATGGAGGGTACAACTCAATTTAGGCAAAATAGTCATGATGAATATCAAACTAGTGGCGAGTCAAGTGGTAATGGATGGAAAAAGAAGAGCAAAGGTAGGTCTAGATCAAAATCTAGGACTAAAGTAAGAAAATGCTATGGTTGTGGAAACATGGGACATTTTATAAAGGATTGTCATAACGAGAAGGGTAAGCTAAAGGTTAAGGAGAGAAATGAGGTCAATGTGTTAACACCTACTTCCGATATAAATGGTGGTGAGGTCTATATGATTACAAGTCTCGTTGCATGTACTGCTGAATTAAATCTAACTGCTAATTCCCGCACGCATGAGTAGATACTTGACTCTAGTGCATCTTTTCATGTGACGTCTGAGAAGAATTGGTTTTATAAATTGCATGAATATAATGTTGGGCATGTTGTGCTGTGTGATAACTTTGACTATACTATTGCTGGAATTGGTGATATAAACGTAAAATTTGACACAGGTTTTGTGTACACATTAAAGAATGTTAGATATATTCCTGAATTGTCTAGGAATCTGATTTCAGTAGGGAGACTTGAAAAGAATGACTTTACTGGTAAAATTGGAAATGGTATGCTAAAAATGATCAAGGGTGCTTTAGTTTCCATTAAGGGAATTAAGAAAAACGATATATATATTACTATTGGGAAAGTGATTAGAGGTTTGAACTCCTCTATCTCTTCTGCCAAGATTGATCACACACACACATGGCATAATAAACTTGCTTATGTAGGCACCAAGAGACTTAAGCTACTTAATGAAAAAGGTGCTTTTGGTAATGAGTGTGTGTCAGATTTGTCATTTTGTGATCATTGTGTGCTTGGTAAGCATCATAAAACTTCTTTCTCCACAAGTGTTAATAGAGCTAAAGGTATGCTTGAATATGTGCACTCTGATCTGTGGGGTCCTGCTAGTAATCCCACATCGGGTGGGAATAAGTATTTTCTGTCTATTATCGATGACTACACTAGAAAAGTGTGGGTCTATCTATTGAAAGATAAATCTGAGACCTTTAATAGTTATAACAATTGGAAGAGACAAGTAGAAAATCAAACTGGCAAGAAAATCAAATTTTTAAAACAGATAACGGCCTAGAATTCTGCAATAAGGAATTTGATAGTATGTGTAAAGAAAGTGGCATAACTAGACATAAAATCGTTCCTTACACTCCTCAACAAAATGGGATAGCAAAAATGATTAATAGGACCATACTTGATAAAGTACGTTGCATGATATTAAATTCTGGGGTTCCCAAGTCATTTTGGGGTGAGGCTGTTATGACTGCTTGTTATTTGATTAACCTGACGCCTCCTGCTGCATTGAATGATGACACTCCGCATGAGAGATGGTCGGGTAAACTGAGTGATTACTCGATGCTTAGAACTTTTGGCTGTACGGCTTTTTCTCATCAAAGTGGGGGAAAGCTGGAACCTAGAGTTAGGAAGTGTATCTTTCTAGGATACCCCGAGGGTATTAAGGGTTATATGTTATGGGATAGAAGCCAAAAAGGGGTTAAGATCATCATAAGTAGGGATGTCACGTTTAACAAGAATGAGATGCCGTGTATTAAAAGGGAAACTGAACCAGGTGAAGAAAGAGACCCGTTTAAGGTGGAGTTAGGAAAGCTCAGTACACCTACCCCTATTGCTCCTAATGAGGTGGAAATTCAAGTTCAGGAACCTGAGGTGGAGAATAGTAACGAAGTAGTGATAGAAGAGCACTATGAGGAAGAAAATCATTTAGCTAACTACAACTTCGTTAGGGATAGAAAGAGGAGACAAACGAGAGAACCTAGAAGGTTCGATTTTGAATCTGAATGAGTTTTCGCCCAGGCTAGTTATGAAGAATTAGTTGATAAAGAGCCAAAAACCTTTGAAGAGGCAATAGGCAGTGATCAATCTAATGAATGGCTTAAGGAAATGAAAGAAGAGATGAGTTCTCTAAAAAAGAATCATACTTGGGAGTTAGTACCTAGGCCTAAGAACAAATCGATTGTTGATTACAAATGGGTCTTTAAGGTTAAGGAAGGTACTAGTAGCTTGAAACCCTTAAGGTTTAAAACTAAGTTAGTAGCTAAAGGCTACACACAGAAAGAGGGCGTTGATTATAATGAGATTTTCTCACCAGTTGTTAAGTACACCACTATTAGGGTCATGCTCACATTGGTTGCACACTCTGATTGGGAACTTGAACAACTTGATGTAAAACTGCCTTTTTACATGGTGAGCTTGATGAACAAATCTTCATGAATCAACCAAAAGGTTTTAAGGACAAGTCAAAACCTGATTATGTGTGTTTTCTGAGAAGATCCTTGTATGGGTTAAAACAATCTCCTAGACAGTGGTACAAGAGGTTTGATTCCTTTGTACCCACTATAGGGTTCCAAAGAAGTAAATTTGATCACTGTTTGTATTTTCAACACAGTGAGACTGATGATAATTATCTGTTTTTGTTGCTCTATGTGGACGACATGCTCTTGATTAGATCATCCTCTAAGTGGATAAATAACATAAAAACAAAACTAAGTGGTGAATTTTGACATAAAAGGCCTAGATAAAGCTAAGAGAATCCAAGGTATGAAAATAGAAAGAGATAGGTCAAATTCCGTTTTGTTTTTACATCAGTCTCCATACATATCCAAAGTATTGAAGAAATTTAATATGAGTGATTGCAAACCCTATCACGTTGCCTCTTGCTAATCATTTTGTTTTATCGAAGGAACAATCCCTTTGCAATGAGCCTGAAGTAAAATAAATGAGTAGAGTACCTTACTCTAATGTGATTGATTTCATAATGTATTTGATGGTTTACACTAAATCGGATTTAGGTTTTGCTGTTAGTACTCTCAGTAGATACATAGCTAATCCGGGCCCTGAACATTGGGAAGCGCTAAAGTGGCTATTAAAGTACTTGAAGGGTACAAGTGACGTAGGTTTAAAGTTTAGTGCTAATAAAGAAGGTATAAAATTAAAGGGTTTTGTAGATACTGATTATGCGGGAGATAGGGATGGTAGGAAATTCACTTCGTCTTACGTGTTTACCTTATCTAATTCATGTGTTAGTTGGAAATCACAATTACAACATATTGTTGCACTAACCACTACAGAATGAGAATATATTTCTACCAATGAAGCTATTAAAGAAGCTCTATCGCTTAGAGGCCTACTTCATGAACTATGTGTCTTGAATGATTATGTGGATGTGTAGTCTGATAGTCGGTCACCTATACATTTGTGCAAGAACACCGTTTTTCACGAGAGCACTAAACACATTGATGTTAGACTCCACTTTATTAGAGATATAGTAGCTCAAGAGGTGGTAAGACTTGAAAAGGTCCACACACACTACAACCCTTCCGATAAGGGGACGAAGGTACTGCCACTAGCAAAGTTTAGAAGTTGCAAGAAACTTCTAAATATTGATACAGGTAAATGATTTCCAATTTTATTTGTTTTCTATTAGAGGTGTCACTAATGGGAGACATTTTCTTTTGCAGGTCTTTTGACACTAAGGTGGAGGTTGTTAGGCAATTTGTTGTCAAACAACCTCCAGGGCAATGATGTAACATCGATTTTATTTATTATCAATCGGCCTTGGCCATATGATTGAATTATATGTCAACACTATCATCAAGACAATCCAACCCACATCTCTATGGACCGTTAGAAGCAACCTATTTTAATAGTGTTGCTCATGGTTCGTCTCATTTACTTGGAGGGCTATGTTATTCATTTGGAGCCCATTACCTTGTGTTGAGCCTTGTTTGGACCACTAAGTTAACCTAACCTAACTTACCATTTTTGGTCACTCATTTGGCTTATAACCTACGGCTCCTCTACACCTCCACCATGAAGAACACTCCATCTCTTTCTGTGACTTTGATTCTCGGCCTCTTTCCTTCATATAACTTGTGTGGTTTCTCTTGGGCTATACATTGTTCTTCATCTTGGCCGACTCTTTGTGAGTATATATATAGCAACCGTATGTGGGAAGGAAGGAGGTGGAAGTTGGGTGTTGTCTCAATCGAGGTTGTGTCGATATATGGTGGAAACTGAGCCCGGTATCACCTTGGTTATTGCTGAAATTACACCTTACAACAGCAAAATAGTATCAAAATGCTGGGAGATTTTACCACCCAACGCGCATTATTTGGTGGCGCTATCACCAGGTCTTTCCCCCTTCGCTTCCAGGTTGGCATTTGGTAATTTCTTTTGTTTTTTCTCTGATTTCTTGGTATAATTTTTTTGCGTGAAAAAATATGTTACTGATGAATTCATGCTTGTACTGATTTTCATTGTGAAGGATGTGAGTACTATTCGCCAAGTTCCTGATCATCAGGTTAGTTAATTAATGAAGATTATTGATTTTTTTTGGGTTTTTGGTATTTTCCTGTTTTCGGTGATTCAATGATGATTTATCTTTTGATTGCCTTGTTTATGGAATGTCTTTAGGAGGTATTTGTGGACCCTACGCGCGATGAGAGCTTGATATTTGAATTGCTGGACTTGAAGGCTGACGTGCTGGATGAGGGGAGTGCCACGTGGTTTCTTCAAGACCTTGCCAACGAACAAGATGCTGATGGAACGATGGTAAAATTTGAATTTTCCATTTTGTTTTGCTTTTGATGTCGCTCGGTGGAATTCTTGAATCTTGATTAGTCAATCACAAATTATGGAGTAGCTACTGACTATATTTTAAGGTACTTGCTGTGATAATTAAGTGAATCTTAAATTTGAGCCGTTAGTCTCAGTTTGATTACATGTATAATTTTTGCCTTGTGCATGAACAAAAAATAAGAACTTTTTTTGGTAACAATTTTCTAGAGAGGTATATCTTTTAAATCAATTACTTTTCTACGATCTGCGTCCGTTGGATTATTGTTGAGATGTGGCAGTAACTTTGGTGGTCGAGAATTACACTAGCAATAATGGTTTGAATACATTTCCCTTCCTGGGATTTCTTAAATTTCAACTTAATTAATCACCATACGTTTTCTGGATTTTCTTATATGCAAAACAAGGCCGTATGATTTCATAGAGGGGATAATGTAATCTTGTGAAAAAAATTCGCTTTTTCTGTGGATGAATATTATTGCAGAGATTTTACAGGGTTCGTTTTTTCTTTAAGATTGATGTATACCTGTGGATTGAACCTCTTTTTTTAGTTCTAGTGAAGCCACCTATAATTTACAATTTTTTGTTAATAATCTATACAGATTTATTAACCTTCTCACTGTGCATCAATGAATGTTTCTATAATTTAAAACTTAGAATTTCCACATGCTTTCATAAGTTCCCCCATCTAAGCTTTTGTCTTAACTTTTTCTTACTAACTTCTTAGTCGTGCTGAGAGATATGGAACAGTGAATTTATTATAATGAGCTGAGAGTTACATATTTTAAGGTACTTGAGCAGTCTGGGGTGTTTGAGGCTGATTGGTTGCAATACAGAAACATACCTGCTGTTGTTACAACTGCTGCTGGACCTGGACAAATGGTATGCAACATTTTGTATCATATATATAGGGGAACATACGTTGGACTTTTTTAATTTTTTTGACTTTTGCTTTGTTAATTTTAGCTTTGTAATTGGTTGCAAACAATGGCACAGTAGGCAGTGTGCTATAGGGTAATTGGGAAAGTATTTTAAAACTCATCACATGTTCCTATTCTTGTATTTGATGTGTGATGTTAAGAACTATGGAAAAGTAGTGTTAGGTGTCTCCAACGTGACTCTTTCTATCAACTTCCACAAGAAACTGAATCCATACTCTAAGTTTAGGCAAGAAGGCCTAAAACCAAAAAATCATCTGTACTTCTTTTCCTTCTTCACTAGATGAAAATGAAATTTATTTGAAATTTTCACGATTATCTCAAATAATTGCTTAAAGAGCATGCATTCCTCATGGATATATTTATTTTGTGATCATAACTTCTCTCCTGGAAAAAGCAATTGCGACTGCTACAGCAGGTGGAACGATGATAAACATTATCAACTGTGATAAAATTTCACAGAATATTGTGAAGGTAAATTTGTTTACTCTTCTTTATAGCACTTCACTTCTATATTTGGGGGAGCAAATGGGGTCAGGCCATTTGGGGAACAGATTGAAAATATGGACTGATAGGTCAATTTGCAATGTGTTTTTGTCAACTGTATGTATGTATGAAGAAAGAATTACAGAGTGACCTATGGTTTTAAGTTCTTGCTTCTTTGCATGCTCGGTTACATGGAGAGAAATAGTGAGAAGGGAGATTTCATGAAAGAAGTCGCAGACAAAATAATAAAGTGCATTGGTGGGGAATATAGAAACTGGATAAATAAATAGGTTTTCAGAACATTTCGTAAAGGTAGAAATCTGGTAAGATCGGATTTTTCATAGCAAAACCAAGACAAAATTAACTGTTTTTTGTAACTTAAGTAAGCAAAGCTTATTCTCTTTGGTTTGCATTCCCAATTCAAACTGGGACATGTAGACCATATCTATATTTAAGTTGTTTTGTGCAATCTAAATGTTGGTTTTTCCAGGTCTACTTGGCTAATTTGCGCCTTAAGGGAGTTGCGACAGATGTTCTGATCACAGCATATGAGCCTATGTTGATTAAGTTGCAAAAACTTTCATCTGCCAATGCTTATCGGTTATCACTTTGTTTATTACTTTGCTGAAGATATGCAAGTCTTCCCGAGCATGACGGAAAACTACTTTTTTTCTACCTGTTGAGATGTACCTAATATATTCTTTCATCTGCTTTGTTTCTGTTCTTGTAGTCCTTTGAGCGAAAGTGCTAGCGCAATTGGGGCTGGTTTCATTGTACCTGCTGCGCAATGTGGATGTATACCAATGGCTGAGGTGTTCAAGCTTGCTGTTTCTAGTTTCAAGGTCAATGATTGGAGCCTTTTTGGTGTTGCTGCTTGATAAGTTCTGGAAGGATGCATGTAAACAAAAACCGCGAATTATCGAAATTGCACGTTTTCTATTTCCCATCTTAGACCAGTTTTCACTTGGAATTAGAAACTTTTACTTGGCAGAGGAAAAGAAGTTGCTTGGAATTGGACCCTTGGAAGTTCTTTTGGCGTGTTAGCCGGTTAGATCTCAATATTTGATGAAATACTTTTGCTGATTATTGGCAAATTCTCGTTATAGGTTACAATTCTTGGATCAGTGTCCTTATTTAAGGCTTTTCTTTTGAACTTTACAGTGAACACTGTAATTACGTGTTTTTTGTATTTTCACAGCTCTGTCACTTTCAGATGGTAATTACTCTTCTTACACGGATTACTTGTGTACATATTGTAATTTCGTCCAATTTGGTGCCTTGTGTTGGCAAAACTTGATATTTTCTGATGACACTCATTGTTCTATTGCATTCAGAACAGTAGTGCAATAAGAATCTTAAAAGGGAGAAACAAGTCAACAACAGTGTCTAATTGTACTACAAAAATATATTAGAGAAAAACTGAATGTGTACATGCTTATAAATATTACAAGACTTCCAAGTACAAAATATAAGCAGAAAAATATTTATCTCCGCCTCTGGGGGTGGAAAGTGCTATTAGCTGGTGTCTTCTCCTCTCTAAAAGGTTGGGTTGATTCATCTGATACACTAGGCAATCTTGACACACTGCCCTTGCTTCTCCTTGCATTTGGTCCAATTTCCTCTATCATGTACTTCCATCCGTCAATAGGCCTCCTTCGGCTAAATATGTGAGTCTTTATAAAACTAGCTATCTGAATACCACAAATTAAGCCGTTTCAGTTAAAATAAAAAATAAAAAAATGGCGAGACGTAAGCGTAAACAACGTAAATCTTGTAAATGAAATTAAGAAAAAAAATAATATTCATCAAGAAATTGAACAGAACCCAAGCCCTGCTAACTCCGATGTCCCCATCTCCATATATTCAACGCACTATGCCAAAAATTTCATGAAGGAAATCGGAATGGGAGGAATATCATAGTTGACAATATGTTATAGATAAAGTATTTTTACATTTTCATCCTAACAATTCCAGGGTTTTATTTTCAGACATGGATTTCTTCCTGAACATGCTTATTAACGGGCAAGCAAACCATCTCAATCATGAAATAATAATGAGACTTAAAAATGCATAACCACCGGATGAGTTCTTTCAACATACCCCAATAGGCAAAACCCTTACTACTTTTTTTCAACAACCTCGTCATCAATAGGTAAAAACACGAAACCAACATGTTAGCCATTTTTTACTACTATGGATAACTAAAGGGCAAAGCATCAAAAAAATTGATTTTTACTATCTCCCCCCCCCCACCCCCCCCCCGCCATTTATTTCTACACATGACATTATATAACATATAATCATGTCAACGTACCCAGTAATTTAAACAAGACCAGTTAATCATTGCACAACATGCGAAAAATTTCTACTTGAAATAATATGAATTAGAATTGAAAGTGAAGGAATAAAGTGCTTACTCAGAGCAGCTATCGAGCAATTTCTCTATATTATCTCCATCAACGGAAATGGAGTCCCCCAATTTTGCCTCCTCCATTTTCTCAATCTCCTTCATCCATAGCCCCGCGTGTATCTTCTGCTTCTTCAACCTGTAATCTCGTTTAATATTCTCCAAGCTATAAAGCGACGATGAAGATGGAGACAATGCAGAGGAGTCCATATTCTTTTTATCTTCCTTTGTCATTTTGCCCTTCCTCTGGTCCCAATTCTCGTTCATGTCCTCCACAAAGGCCTTGGTCTCGGAGTCAATTTCTTCTCCCTGGTGAGTATTTTCAGCGGTGGCAGTGGGGAGGGAAAAGGTAACGTCGGATTCCCAGGGGGCTACAGGTGAGGATTTGCCGAAATTATCGTCAGGAAGCCACGCCGTTTCCCATGCGTCGTTCCACTCGTTGTCGCCAGTTTTGTTCTTATTGGTTGTTCGGTTGGTGGAAAATAAAGCGGTTGTTGCGGCGGCGGAGGGATGCCAGCTGGATTTACTGAGAGTGGCGGCGAGCCTGTAAATTGGAGTCATTTTAAGGGATGGATACTGGTGTGTATGTGAATTTTCAGCACAAAGTTTATTAGAGCTTGTTTGTATAGTCAAATTTTAATTTGCCGGAGGTGGCTGCTGGAGTTAATCGGGGGCAGCGGGGCCGGGAGTGGCGGTGGAGGCAGTGGTAGATTCTGAAGAAGATGACCTGAACATATTTAGCCCTGTTTGGTCCGGTTTTACTTGTTCCAATGGCCACCAAATTTAGGTTTAAGTGTTTGATTGGTCACGAAGCTTAAAAGGGTAATTGGCACAAAACGTCCCTACCTTTCAAGTCTATTGTGGAAAACGTTTTTATCTTTCATTTTTTGGCATTTTTGCCCTCATTTCAACATTTCTTTGCGCTGGACATCCTTCCGTCCATATTCCATCAGTTTTTCCGTTAATTAAAGGGTAATTGGCACAAAACATCCCTACCTTTCAAGTCTATTGTGGAAAACGTCCCTACCTTTCATTTTTTGGCATTTTTGCCCTCATTTCAACCTTTCTTTGCGTTGGACGTCCTTCCGTCCATATTCCGTCAGTTTTTCCGTTAATTAAATACAAAAATACCTTTTTCTTTCCATAAACAAGGGTAAAATTGTCCTCACCCACTTCCCCCATTTTTCCCGCCATCAACTTAGTCCATAAGTAACAGTAGCAGCAATATGAATCTGAAAATACTTTAAATGATTAAGTTAAATAAAGAAAAAATATCGTGAACACATTATATTTCACAATTCCACAACTACTGTTGCTGTCATCTTGTGTCACTGGAAAAATTTAGAAAGACATATTAAATGGGTAGTCAATTTATAATGAGTCAATTTAAAATGAGCCATTCATCTTCTCCATTGAGCCAAAAAGAGCTATTCACCATTTTGGCTCATTATAAATTGATTACCCATTTAATATGTCTTTCTAAAATTTTCCAGTGACACAAGATGATAGCAACAGTAGCTGTGGAATTGTGAAATATAATGTGTTCACGATATTTTTTCTTTATTTAACTCAATCATTTAAAATATTTTCAAATTCATGTTGCTGCTACTGTTACTTATGGACTAAGTTGATGGCGGAAAAAATGGGTGAAGTGGGTGAGGACAATTTTACCCTTGTTTATGAAAAGAAAAATGTATTTTTGTATTTAATTAACGGAAAAACTGACGGAATATGGACGGAAGGACGTCCAGCGCAAAGAAAGGTTGAAATGAGGGCAAAAATGCCAAAAAATGAAAGGTAGAGATGTTTTCCACAATAGACTTGAAAGGTAGGGACGTTTTGTGCCAATTACTCTTTAATTAACGGAAAAACTGACGGAATATGGACATAAGGACGTCCAGCGCAAAGAAACGTTGAAATGAGGGCAAAAATGCCAAAAAATGAAAGGTAGGGACGCTTTGTGCCAATTACCCAAGCTTAAAATGTGAAACTTAACTTACAATACTTTTAAAATTTAGTGATCAAAATTTACATTTTAAATTTCAGCAAACAATCGAATATATGAACTTAAATTCAGTGATCAAAATTTAACATTTTAAATTTAGTGATCAATCAAAAACATAAACTTAAGTTCAATAACCATTGGAACAACTCACCACATCAATCCTGATATGCCCGGGGCAGTTGAACCACATTGTAATGTGGCATATTTAAATTAAAATAAAATTTTTATTAGATTTTAATAGAAGTGAATAGAGTATGTGATAAAGAAAAAAAAAAGTTGTGAATTCTAGCGAATATAGGATTAAAATTAATTTTTTACATTGACTTTGATTAAAATCTAAAATTTAATTTCTGCCAACTAATTTTTTTATTTGTTGCTTTAAGTTAAAGGGTTTAAATGTCATTTTATAAAATATTAACACATTTTTGGACAGAAACTGCACGTGGGACGAAGTCTGCTCATTTCTCAAACGTTCGTAGAAACAAATCAAACAAATAAAAGATTGGTGGTATTTTTTCTACTTTTCTTAAAAGTAGAGATGAATATTGCAATATACACTTCTTTTTAATATTAGGGGTAATTATCTTACTCCACCCGTGTTTATTACTTATTTGCACTTAAAACCATCAATTTTTTTATTATAATTTTGAGAATTATACTACTTGTACATAAAAATGGTACATAAAGGATTACACAAAATGATATGGTGGAAGAAGATTAGATGAAACAGTAAACTGTGTTTTAAATTGATAAATAATAAAGTGACATTTTTTAAATTTATTATTATTTTTTTTTTTTGCGCAATCTTGTCATCAACATTTTCATTAATTGATACATCTTTCTCTCATTACGGTTTTCATTTATAAGTTTGTTGGGAGAAAAGTAAAATGACTTATTGTTTATTGTGTACATATGTATATATAATGTGATACAACAAATGAAAAATATTGTGTAAACATAGTTAGGGTTTAGTTATAGTAAGAGCATAATAGTCATGTTAAAGAAATTTTGATTTTCATGGGTTGTAACTCATTTTCTAAAGGTTGGGCGTTGAAATCTCATGCCTTGTTTGAGTCGCATTTTTTGAAAAAAATACATTTTTAAACAGTGATTTGATATCATTTCAACTATACATTATTCAATAAAATAACATTACATGTAAATTCAAAAAAAATTCTTATTATTTAATTATACATTCTCTATCGATCTATTATTTCAAAATACATTATTTACAAATGATACGATACAAACACACACTCCGTTTAATGGTTGGTAGCCGAGATAAGGTAGTCTTAAGAAAAATGGGCCCAATTTTTAGTCTAATCTCTTTAGACCGAACATGAAGGCCCATTAGGGTTTTGTACTGAAACAACTCCTATATAAACAATTCTTACAGGCCTTTTACTGGAAAGGTGAAACCCTAATCTGTTGCCTTCAGTTGGAGCAGGAAGAGAGAGCCGGATTGGAGATCGAATCAGTGGGGGTCAACAACAATGGTGCACGTCTCTTTTTACCGTAACTGTAAGCATTTTTCTAGTCATTATTGTACTTACAGAGATATACGCATAAGTCTGTGATTTATAAATGGGAGAGTGAATTTTGATGTTAGTTGCCTTGTTGATCTTCGACGTCTTTTGCTCAATTCCTGTTTTGAGCTGTTCGATATCCGGTGATGCTATTGATGTAATTTTTTCCTGATTCTGTTTTACAAGTTTGAATCTATGTAAGTGATTTTTAGTTTTAAGCAGAATGGGCGTAGTGATCTTAAAGTTTTCATTATAATTAAATGTATCTTTTTCATAAATTTATTAAGAAAAGTTTTGATTTTGTTTAACTAACAACTGAGGGGCTTTGGAAAAATGAGGATACATCATATGCTGCACAAAAAAAAGAAAATCTTTGTTCAATTGTCTATTATCTATTCAGAAAAACGTGAGTCTGTGTACACGTAGGAAATAATTAACTTATTCGCTCACCCAATTGGAAGGTGAAGTTTGTGATAGCATATTGTTGATATGCTTGCCAATTTTTCTACCGTCAATATAGTACAATGTGGAAATTTTAGGTCCCTATACTTATATGAGATAATTAACTCATTTGCTCACCAAAGTTTGAATCTGATGTTTGCAACCTTACACTGATTGAAACTAGATTATTGCCTTGATATGATATTTCGTGAAATATAGAACTTCAAATACTAAATTATATTGTTCATTTAAATAACAAAAAGGTTCCCTCCTCGATAGGTTAGCTATATTAGTGGTTGAATTGCTTGCTGAACTGATAGATACATGATTGGTTACAGATGGGAAAACATTTAAGAAGCCCCGTCGTCCCTATGAAAAGGAACGACTAGATGCTGAATTGAAGCTTGTTGGAGAGTATGGACTTAGGTGCAAGAGGGAACTCTGGAGGGTTCAGTATGCACTAAGCCGCATCAGAAATGCTGCAAGAAATCTTCTGACTCTTGATGAGAAGGACCCTCGTCGTATTTTTGAGGGTGAAGCCCTTTTGAGGAGGATGAACAGGTATGGACTGTTGGATGAGAGCCAGAATAAGCTCGATTACGTCCTGTCCCTCACAGTAGAGAATTTCCTTGAGCGCCGCCTGCAAACTTGTGTGTTTAAGGCAGGTATGGCTAAGTCAATCCACCATGCTAGAGTGCTCATCAGGCAAAGGCATATCAGGTGCGGATGATTTCTCAATTTTAATGACTGTTTTAATGCCCATGTTATTGACTCTTCATTTTGACTTTTATTATGTTATTTCATATATATATATATTGGGAAATATTATTGACACACAAATTAGATGATGAATGTCATTTAGAAATGGATATTTGATTGCATATAGTAAATTGTCGATATACTTATAGGTGTGATAAGTAATACGCCTTGGTTTTTGCTTTCACTTGTGTATCAGCATCAAAGCTTTCAATTTTGTATGCACTTAGATCAACACAACAGCAAGATTCAGATAATTACATGATATGACATTAAGCAATTGAAAAATCTTGTTTATGCCATTTTAATCGTTGGTTAACACCAATGGTAGAGTTGGCCTCATATTCTCTTGGTTCTTGCATAACTTCTTAATCTTGTATATGTAAGGATTTTATATTTCTCATAGTGTGAGCTTCAAATCTTGCCTTAGCTTTTGGAATCTCGGCGGATAGAGGACTTGTGGTTGGCAGATAACTTATAAGTGACGCAATAATTTTTATCTTTCGGTTTTATTTATATCAATCGAGGGAATGATTTAGTCTTGTAAGCATTCCATCTCTCTCTTTTGCATGCATGTAGAGTTAATGTTTGTCACTGACTCACTGGCACTCTTCCCTAATATGAACTTGAACTTGACTCTTGGAAGTTTGAAACGTGCTTTTGATTGAAAATCATGATTACATTACTTTTTTATGAGGTGCTTACATTTGTGACCTTTTTACTTAGAATATAGAAAAGTTATGAAATGTCATGACTAGGAAATTCTGCTACTAACGCAAGCTACATTGTAAATTATTCTTAAGTTAAATTTGTTATTGAGCCCCTTTTTTCAAAAAAAAAAAAAATACATTTTGAAATAGTGATTTGATGGAGAATGCGTATTTAAAAAATAAGGAAAAGTTTCAAGTTTGTGTTTATAATTTTGTTGAAGAATGTGTAATTGAAAATAAGAGAGATAAATTTCTTAAATAATGGAGCTCAAACTAGAACTAAATATGCCTGATTTTTAATAATAATAATAATAATAATAATAATAATTAACACTGATTTTTAAACTTGAAATTTAAAATGTAGGTTTCGCTTAGCTTTGCGAAGTGGGTTTCTGGCAACATTTGTAGCCCATATGTAGAAAACCAAATTTGTACACATAAACATTGCTCAAGGAAAAGATGAAGCTCAATTCATGACACCACCCAGACTATTTTGATAACAGAATTAATTAATTGTTCTTTATCAAAAAATTAATTTCTTTTTCTTCATTTATACTGTTGATTTCACTCTATCAATTATGCCATAACTATCTTCTTCATCTAATTTATTTTTTTTTAAATAAAAACTTTAAATGCCACTAAATTACTATAAGCCATTGTTTGGTGCAAATTAAAATCAAAATTTTTTAGTAAACTTTGATGAAATTTGTGGTTAAAAATTATGGATTAAAAAAAAACTAAAAATTAAAATTAATTGTTAACTATGACTTTGAATTCAAATCATATTATAATTATACCAAATACGGGCTAAATCTAATTATCATGAAAGGAATAGGCTTGCTCATCTTTTATGTACAGCCCATTGGGTCACCACATAGTTGCATCTCAATCTAAATTTGTTGAGTAACTTATTGAGGGGGAAAAAAATGCAAAAAGGAAAAAAAAAA